CTGGGGTGGTGGGGGTGGGGACGGGGAGGGGACGGGGAGGGAGGAGGCGCCGAGGAGCAGGGACAGCCCCACAGCCCCAGGCCCCGCCGGCCACCCGCTCCCTTGGCAGGATGCCAGATGCTGCAGAGAGAGGAGCGCGGATCCCGGAGCCGGGAGACCTGTCCTCTAATCCGGGGCATGCACCTCCCAGCCTCCCGCCTGTCCTCTGTGAAATGGAAATAAAGTTTACAGGGATGACGCGGTGAGATTCCGGGAAGATGAAGGGCTTTCCTCTGGGCTGTCGTGGAGTCAGGGCAGAGGGGTGAGGCCGCCACTCGGCCAGACTCTTGACACTGGAGAGAGAGACGGGAGGACCAAGGTCTGAGGGGACAAGTGGAGGAACATTTCAGATTCAGGTCACACTGGTGAACCTCCACGAAGCGCTGGGGACTCTTACATATGTGCGCTGACAACATCCTCGGCTTCGGTTGCAAATCGCAAGTCAACAGCATTTCCGAAGGCTGCACCCTGCGAGCGCGCGGGCTGGGTGGGTTCTCTGACTCCCAGGCCGGGCCTTCCTCCACGGCCTTCACTCAGCCTGTACCCCCTACCTGGCTGCCCCAGGGTCACCTGAGCCTCTAGCTCTGAACCTCCCTCTCCAATCCCAGTCCCGCATCTGTTTCCTATCTCATTAACGGTCCCTCTCATTTCCTCCTGTATTTCCATGGGGATGAGGGCTTACCCTACATATAAGTTTGTAGGTTTCTCGGCTTATTCTTTTGGATTGGACTTGAGGAATCAGATTGCCTTCCCACCACACTGCACCCAGAAGTCAACCAAATCACCTAAGATCTGCAATCAGAATGCACGTTACCATGAGACACCAGGGAGGTCTTCCCTCTCGGCAGAAAGAAGGCTAGGAACACATCGCTTACAATCATTTCACTTTACACAAGTGAATAAAGTGAAAAATTGTAAAACCACCCAAAAAGAAGAAAAACTAAGTATTGGTAGCAGAACATATTTTATTTCGTGGTTGCATTTTGGCAGAATCCCCTTCACAGAGTCTATTCTTGGCTGTCAACAATCAAATTCTCATTGCCAAGTGCATGTGAGTGTTGCTGTATGATTCACAACTCCCATTGCAGCCAAGGGTCTGCAAGGTCCTTCTTCCTTGGGTTCAGGAAAGCGAGAGGGATGGGGGCGGGGCCAGGCATCTTTCTGTTAAAGAAATGCTTCTCTGCTGGGGCAGAGCCTCCCCGGGGTCAAGTGTTTCTCTCTGGACCGTGGCTCATCTTGCTGGAACAAGTCTTCCCAGGAGGAAAGGACCACTCCTTCGTCCTGCCCTTTTTTACCAACAGGTTCCCAGCGATGTGTGTGATTCATCTTCTTCTATCAGCCCCTTCTCAGGCCAGGTGACAACCCCGAATCTTTTCCATCCTCAGCCTAGCCCGAAGATGCAGCCCGTGTTTGCACACCCAGCTAGAGCACACAAATAGAACGTTCGGAGTGGAAATAGGGGGGGATCATCAAACGTCTTTGGCCAAGAGATGTTCCAGCCCCAGAGCCAGGTGTGAGACACGCTGTCAATGATACTGTGGCCCAGGAAATGAGCATGAGCTTGGTTAGTTCCCCGGCACAGGCACTTCAAAAGATGATCGTGGCGAAGGAATCAATCATTTTGCACAGCCAGGGGGTTCCCTAAGCTGCTCCAAAGATTGTCCTCAGGAAGGGAGAGAGTCCATAAGAGTTAAAGAATGTGACAGTGACGATAAGGGTGGGCATGGCGGTAGCTTGTAAATCCCCACATTACCATTTCTGCACCTGGGATCAAGGCACAGCCTTCTTGTCATTGGTGCGGCAGGGCTGGAGATGTCCGTGTGGGTTAGCCAACACCAGCCTTTGTGAGTCACACGCCAGTGTCTCTGATAACACAATTCCCTTAGGATTTCAGGGGCTTGTAGGCTGTTTGCTTCCCAGTGCACGGGAAGGGTCACAAAGCCATCTACTGCCCAAGTCACAGTCCTTTCCCTGTCCCTTACTGACTTCTCTTTCCTTAACGGTTTGAATAAAGTCCTGGCCATGACTGGCATTGTCCCGATGTGACATGTGACAAGTGGTATTGCCAGAGTCACATGTCCATCGCTGAATCAATCCTTGCAGTAGGGTCCAGGACATATGTCCAAGCCCGAAGATGGGGTCAGGGTCATCCCCCCACCCCACCCCTCACCACCGCCCATTGCAGGATTGCCGTGAGGAAGAAATGATTCCCCAAAGCAAATGCAGGTTACTATTCCCGGAAGAAAGAGGAAAGGCTGCTGGCAAGAAAAGACAACAAATATATGCCATATATTTGGAATAATATGCAGCTGTTTAAAAAGAACAAGGTAAATCCGCATATACTGATGTGGAACAATCTCCAAGATAAATCAAGCTAGAAGAAAGCAGGGGCACCTGGATGGCTCAGTCAAGCGTCCAGCTGTCGATTTCAGCTCAGGTCATAATCTCACGGTTTGTGGGACAGAGCCCCCAGTTGGGCTCTGAGCTGACAGTGCGGAGCCTGCTTGGGATTCTCTCTCTTCCTCTCTCTCTCTGCCCCTCCCCTGCTTGCAAACTCATGCTCTTTCTCTCTCTCTCTCTCAAAATAAATAAGCTTTTAAAAAAAGTTAGGAGAAAGCAATATGCAGAAGGGTGTGTATGGTGTGAACTCATGTGTGTCTACTAAGATGTGTGTGTGTGCTTCTATGAAGATTCTTGCAAGAATACCAAGAAACCAAGTTCATGGGTGTTTATCTCCACATAGTGAAACTGGATATGGAGGGCAGAAGTAAGACTCTTTTTGTTTGTTTTCTGTCCTTCTGAATGTTGAACTGAGTACCTGCGCATTTTCCTTAAACATCACCTTTAAGTTGTATTCAGAGCATCTATGTTAGAATTTTTGCCTCATAGCTACTGGGGAAGATTACCGGGTGCACATAATTGGTGACGTGGCTGAGATTTTGGTTGCGAGGCAATTGGCCTGGGATAGCAATCCTCAAGGCCACAGACCAGGAACTGGGTGAAACAGAGCTGTCATGTGCCTTGGTCAGGAGCAGAGGCTGGGGAGACCTTCAGGAGAGGGGGGCAGAGGGCTTGGCTCTCTGGGGCCTTGAACCTTGGCTCAAGGCTGGGGACTTAACTCCTTTTTAGAAACAGAGTGGGCCTGCATTTGGGGTTCAAAGGGTCTTTGGGGGGATCTGAGGCCTATTGGGGCCCTTTTTTGGTACCCTGCCCCCAAGGATGCCCAGAAGTGCTTGATTTTGCTGTGGCCATTTATGCCACTCACCAGTATTAGGGTGATGAACGTTTACATGTAGCTAATACTAGAAACATTCTGCAAATCACCAAGACATGTCAGATCAACTCCGTGGTATTGTTTCTGAGTCCAGGGACAGTGTCTGCTCCTGGGTGAAATCTTCTTCAGGTGCCACACGGGCGGTCAGGCCCCCCTGCTCACAACTGTGCCAAATGAGGGATCTAAGAGACAACGCTGACTCACCAGCCAGGAACTGCTGGCCATTTCACAGACACTCCTTTTCCCATGATACATGAAAATCAAGTTGACAAGAATCAAAAAATCCCCCCTTTAACAAATTCATTCAACAGTTATCGAGTACCAACGACGTGTTGGTTTCCATGCCAGGTGCTGGGAATACGGAAGTTGACGGTGTATCCTGTGGACAGCATACCCAGTCCTGCACCAGTGGGTGGAAGCCGAGCCTCTCCACGGTCTGGCTTTCCCTTTAGAAGTTTCTGAGTGAGAGACCACCCGGCCTCATGCACCACAAGGGGGAGCGCCCCGGGTACCCGCCCTGACGGCATGGAGACAGCTATGTTTAGCATTTCCTGATGGAACCAAAATCTGCAGTCAAGAAAAGCTGGTCCTGGCCAAAACATTGACTTTTGGATGAGAACGATGTCTTCAATAATAATCCTGCCAAAACCACTGCCTCATGCATTAGCCCTCTCCCTAGAGGGTGACAGGAACCAGTAAGTGACAGAAAACTCAACTTGTACAGACTGGGGAAAAAAATCAACTCTGATTTTGTTTTTGTTTTTGTTTTCTGTAAGGACAAAAATAAATGCATATTTTACTACCAAAGTAAGACCTAAGCTGTTCTCATGCAAACATATACATTTTTAAAATAACTTTTCTCCCAGGGGGCACCTGGGTGGCTCAGTCAGTTGAACATCCGACTCTCAATTTCAGCTCATGTCGTGATCTCACCATTCCTGAGTTTGAGCCTTGAGTCAGGCTCTGCACTGACAGCATGGAGCCTGCTTGGGATTTTCTCTCTCCCTATCTCTCTGCCCC